ACGGTTGGCCACTACAGTTTCCAAAGCACTACAGCAACTTCACCATTTATGAATCTTTACCCTAATGAGAAACTGCAAGACACACTCCCTAAAATGCATATTGCAATATAAAATGAAAACTACCTTGTCAGTGGCAGCTTTGTGGGGTCAGCACTTCTGAAAATTGGGCCCATTAGAAATAGATATGAAAATAAATCTTTATTTTCAAGATAATAAAAGAAATGTCTTATTTTATTGGACCATTTTTATTTATTGTCTTAATTTAAAAATGGGCAATAATGAAAGAGGCTAGCCTAAAAGTTAGAACCATTTCAGATCCTTCATATGCTTTTTCAGTTCTCACAGGAACTAAAGGAAACAATATAAATTAATGATAAAATTCATTTCAGAGATAGCATTGCTATTGAGTCTGGAAGAATGAAATTAAACCTGTATTGTTCTAAAAACCTCCCTTTAGGACTTCTAGAGGGTGAAAATTTGCACATATGGCTTCAAGGCTTGTTTTCCCTAAGTATTTGGACATATAGCATGTCACGTGTGCTTAAAGTTAATTCTGTAGTTCAACTGTGCATATGAGAGAAAAATTGGTTTCTCATCAAGAGCCACAATTGCACCCTGTGTACTATTTAATTAATTTGATGTATATTCAGAAATGGAGAGATACACATGGTGCTCATGTATCAGTTTTTTTTAAATGCAGGCAGGTTAATGAGGGGGGTCAGGTGCAAGTATTAGAGTGTTAGAATTGTAGTAATCCCATCATCATTAATAAGTCAATGTGCTTTGAGAACTTGGCATAATAATAATGTACATAATGCTTGTAATTGTGGCAAAATCATGGGTAGTCACCTTTGCTGTAAAAATCTCCTCTGTCAATTGTTTTTTCATAACATTTTTTGGGGTTCCATTATGAATATTTTGGTAGTGGACATTTTTATTTTCACTTATAATAATTATAGTCCATGTACATTTTTCAAAAGAGAAAACATAATTTTATGAAAACTGTAGCACTGTGCAGCAGCTTTAATGAAAGTCTAAATTTTGAGTCATTGCAATGTACCACCAGACTGCATGCACAAGGCAGGTACAGCTCAAAAGTCTGTCAGCACAAATATTGCGTCAGTTCCAACAGTTTGCATCAAATTTTGTTCTAGAATTCTTTTTCTGTCTTTATTCTTTTTTTATTTTCATTTAAATAGAAATAGAATCCATGAGCCCAAGACTGGAATCTGTTCAATAGCAGTGTCCATTGGTCCATGCCTGCCTCCTTCACCTCATCATGCTCTGAAGCAATGGCATAAGGGGCAGTGCAGACTGTCTCTCCAGTTCCTTTCTGCCACTTGTGTTTTGGGATGGAACCTTTCTGTATCACTAACCTTCTAGTGTTCTGCTTGAATTTCAACCATAAATAACTTGTAAATAGTTTTTATCTTAAATATTTAGCTTAGTGAAGGCTGGCCTTCCCTGGGGTCTTCTCTGTGCGTGAGCTGCATGAGAGTTGCCTGTACCACCTCAGGGAATTACACATTCCCTCAAAGTGTGATATCCGCCACTCATCCCCCCCCTCGTACTAGGCAGCTTTGGGTGTTAAGATTCCACAGACACTTAATGAAACTCTCCATGAGACCCCTTTCTGACCGGGACCCAGTTTATTGGGCGAGTCTGAACTTGATTATCATCATCATGATGTTCCCATTACGCCTTTAGTGTTTAGGGCAGCGATGAAGCTCCTCCACTCCTGTCTGTTTCTGGCAAGTCTTTCAATGGTTCCCCAGCTGTGCCCCAGGTTTTTCAGCTTGGCTTCCACCACTCCTCGCCATGTTTTTCAGGCAGCCTCGTTTTTGCTTGCCTTCAGGTGTCCATCTTATTGCTACTCTGGTGACGGAATCAGCTTCCATCTGAATCACATGGCCAATCCATCCCCAATGCCTCCTGGCAAGGATGGTGCTCATATCTTCTTGGCTGCACTGTGTGAATAGATCTTGGTTTGAGATTGTTCTGGGCAAAAGATGGAGGATTTTTCTGAGGCAGGTTGTATGGAAAGAAGACAGTTTGAACATATCATACTTTCTCATTCCCCAGCATTCTGCACTATAAAGTAATGTTGAAAGTACACAGCTCTGATAAATCTTGAGTTTGGTTTTGGTGTTGTGTTTTGATGATTTCCAGAAAGTATTTAAGCTCCTGAAGGTGTTCTTGGCTTTACTGATTTTGTTCCAGCTGTCCTGGCTTATTCTACTGTCCTGGCTGATGGTGCTACCCAAGTATGTGAATGTTTCTACGTTGGTGAGAACATAATCCTCTATCCGTACTGGTGATGGTGAGGCAATATTAAAAGTAATGATATCGGTCTTATTGCAGTTGATTTTCAGTCCAATTTGCTGTTTGAAAGTGAGTCGAGTTGTTTTTTCTTGTATATGGTGTTGGGTATGTGATAGGCGAGCGAGATCATCAAGGTCTGCAAGTGCCTGAAACCTGTTCTTTAACTGCAGAATGAAGACTTTCTGTATTTCAGGAGACTTCAGCTTGTCAATGTCATAATGTTTATGTCCCTTGTTTGGTGGACCCACACTTCTCAGTTTTAGCTTGATGGAGACTGTCACAAGATGATGGTCTCTGCCAACATCTGCATCCCTTCTCACTTTCACATCTGTCAGAGGGCATCACCATTTCCCACTGATCATCATATGGTCAATCAAGTTCTTATTTGTACCATTTGGAGAACATGTTAGCTTGTCAATTTCATTATTTTGAAATAGGGTTCCGCCAATGACTAGATCATTCACACTGCAGAAATCAACAAGACTCTCTTCATTTTCATTCATGGTGCCATACCCATTTCTTCCCATTGATGTGTCGTTGTTTGTGTTGTCCTTACCAGTCTTTACATTCAGGTCTCCCATGATGCTAATTAGATCATGGCGTGGTACTCCTGTAATGTAAGGTTGAATTTGTCCTTTACTTCATCACTGTCATTTGTCGCAGCATAGCACTGAATCAGGGTGGTGATATTGTGTTTCTTTTTCAATCTGGCTCTCATAAGTCTGCTGCTGATGGATTTCCACTCAAGCTCCACTCCCTTCTTCAAAAAGATGGCAACATCCTCATAGTGTTGTCCATCATCCAGTCCAGAATACAGCAAAGTTTCTCCTGAGGCGGCTGTTAATCTTCCTCATCTTGTCCATCTGCTTCTGCTGACACCAGAATGTGTAAGCTGTACCGTCTCATCTCTGCTGTGACCTGAGCTAGCTTCCCTGTTTCGTACATTGTCTGTACGTTCAAAAAGCCAATTATAGAACTGGATTATAAGCAAGGCCTATTTACCTCATGACAGATTCCTTGTGATGAGGGACCTCATTACCCAGCTTTGACTCAGACCCCAGACATCAATCTGATCCTGTCTGGCCTTGCAAGGCCATGTGGCATCATGCACCTATGTGACACCCGTCACAACACTTCTTCTACAGTAACACCAGGCATGGCTGAATACAATGTATGCTCTAAGCAGAGACTCCCAGGAGAAGTGACTATAGCTTGCTCACAACATCTTGACAATACTCACCTGGTGAAGAAACCAAGGATAATGTCTGCGTAGGGGTTCAGTTTGTTCACCCTTTGCCCACAAAGGCACTCATTATGAATGCCTCACTACTGGGATGAAGGGCACACCTGGATAATCACACATCTCAGCATTCCTGGATTCTGCAGAAGTCCACACCATGTATCAAATCTTCTCAAGCTTTTGACGGTACATAAAACATGCAAGAGGTTTCTGCCCTTTCTCTGGTCTGTATATGTCAACCCTAACCCTAACCCCACTCTTTATGCTATTGCAAGGGAGCAGGAAGAGGCATAGGGTACACGCCTGGCCCTAATGGACACTGCTTGTTTAAAAAACAGTCTCATGCACAAGTCACATGTGTGCTTACAGTGGGATCCACACTGACTTTGATACCTTGAAGAACCACACTTACTGTAGAGAAACAGTTCTATCCACAGCCCAAATCTGTCATTTGAGCCAATGGTGTACCTGATAGCAGTAGTAGGCTGTCATCCTCGGTGTGGAGCAACATATAGAGGGGGATGAGATGCACACTTTGGCAATGGGATTCACTAATATTTGCTGACAGCAAAAAAAATGGTGAGATTCAGGAATCTTGGGTTCCATTTCAGGCTCTGGAGGAAAGGGTCCTCTAATGGTAAGATACCCTTCTGCCTGTGCTCAGGGAGTAAGCTACTGGCAGAGGGAATGTTTCCCAGCTCCTTCTGCCCTGTGGGGATGAAACTGTGATTAAGCTATTTCTTTTCCACCCTAGAACAGACTTTAAATTAGGGAAGCAACGCTCTGAAAAGGAGGGAAGTAGGCTCAATTCCCCTGGGTTAGGGTACCATGACTCTCATAATAATAATGATATTGTAGGCTTGTATAGCACTTTTTGTCCATAGGTCACAAAGTACTTCACAAAGATGAGTAAGTGCCACCATTCCGTTTCACAGATAGGGGAGCCAAGTTTGTGAAATGACCTGTGAAAAAAAGCCTACACTTAAATCTGTTAAATTTTCATAGTCCTGGCTGATATTCCTGATAGTGAAAAAAGTACAGACCCACTCTGAGTCTTGGTGGGTTCTTCATATTTTTAGCACAGATTTACTGGGGATGCCATGGTTACTAATACTTTTCACTGATTTTTCCATCTTCTGAAATGTTCCCTCAAAATAAATGAGACAGACATGAGCATTCAAGTTCACCTTTAAAGTGAATTTGTTTTGTTGTTGTCAACTGCTTTTGCTTTTTTGTTCTCTGTGTTGAATAACTAATTTAAGCAAGAAGTATGGCTTTTCTGGTGGTACAGGATATTATAATTTTATCCAAACCATCACTCCATTCCTTAATTTTGGGATTACAGACATAATTAGCTTTAGCTACGTACGTATGAACTTAATTGGTTAAAATAAACAATTACATAAGTTATTTTTTTCATTTTCTGTCCTTTTCTTAGGCAACTGCTATGGATAATCTTGCATTATCGTGGATGATATCAGGAAGAAACCTAGAAAAACAACCTATGACCCTCATAGACCTTTGCTATGGGAAGACAGAAAATTTAAACCTACGATATCTGGTAAGAACTTTAAACCAGAAATATTGAGACTGAATTTCTATTGCTCAAGCTTTAATTTTACTACATGAGCTTCTTCACTCATTGTTTCTTAAATTTCTAGCAAATGTTGACTCAAAGAACATTTGTCTTGATGTTTTATGCCTCATTGGGAAAACGTGAGTACAAGGGCTAGAAACAAGATTCTCAGACCCTAATGGATGGGGTGTGACTGCAGCTGTCCTTTAGCTGCTATTACAACTATTATCTACTGCTGCTTCTCATATGGAGGTTGGGGCTCCCAGATCAACTGTGTGCAAAAATCTAAGTTACATAGACTAGACTGGCTACTGAATCTGCATTCTTTTCCTACTTCATACAGCACCTGTTTCCACTCTTTAGGGAGTAGTATTGCTCCACCAGAGAGATTGCTCTTGCTTCCACATTCAGGCAACTTGCAGTTTTTAAAGCCACTTTTAGACCTTAAGTGCCTGCTTAGAGGTCCCCTATGGTATTATCTCATTGCTAATTTGTATACTGCAGTGTAGATGTGTATGGCACTTTCCAAACAAGTATGGAGACACTGTGATCCAACATGCTTACCATATGCATTAGATAGATAATGAAAGATTATAACACACAATGGGGGTGGGATGGAAGGAAAAGAGACGGGAAATAAGGGGAAAGGAAATTGCTCTTCAAGAGGTAGGTGGTTTTGTTGTTTGTTAAGAAAATGTTGTTTGCAAAGAACTGAAATAATTTAGTTTGTTTCTGTCCCCTATTTTTTAATGAGACGGAGCACAGAAGGATAAGGCAAAATAGAGAGAGCAGATAACACTGGAGCTGAGATTAGTGACAGAAATGTGGTTGGAAGAGTTTGAAGGAGAGATTGGTTGGCTCACTTGAAGTAGAAGGTTATTCTGGGAATCAAGGGGTGGGAAAGTGATAGAAAGAAGCAGAGGGAAAACTGAGTAGAGTGGATGACATGAGTGGGAAGTAGTGAAAACTAGAGTTGATCTGTACATTGGCAGATCTGTGGGTAGCCTTGAAGGAAGAGGATGAGCTATTTGAACTTGATGCAGAACACTTGTGGCCCTTTCCTTTGAAGAGTTTTGAGGTGGGGGCAGTTACATGACTGGAGTACCAGGGAAAGAAGAACGTTTTAGCAGCAGTACTTTGGATAGATTGAACAGAGATGAGGTGACAAGAATGGAGCCAGAGAGGAAGAATTTAGTGATGAGGTGAAAGAGAGCCAAGGCATGAATCAGGCTTTTAACAGTGGAGACAGAGAGATGTTAAAGTGGAAGCAGCAAATGGATTTCCTGAGAGCTTGGTATTGTGTGGAAAGAATTTAAAAGCACAGATTTGGGGAAATAGAATGGAAGTGCCAATGTAGGGAAGAGGAGAGAATTTTAGAGAAAAAGAAAGTCAGTGTTTAGCATATTTCCTTGAGAAGCAGATGAAAGTCAAGACTAGAGAGAAGAAAGATCAGAGTGGTAATAAATCTGTCCCTGAGCTGTTGCCTGACTCTACATTTCACGCAGCTCTCATTTGCTTTAGTGAAGGACCTCATTGTGCACTGTAGATATTCTTACATAATTTATCAAATTATGTACCTACAAGAAAGAACAAAAAAAAGTTCCATTCAGTGCTGAATAATAGTGATCTATCTATGCAACAATAAAGTCTGAACTAATTGCATTTGTCATTTTACATAAGTCTACATTTTTGTCAAATCTCTGAAGAAATATTCTCGCACATGTGCTAAGAATTGGAGGAAGACACTATAAATTATTTCTACAAGTGCTGTAAAATGCAAATATAACAAATGTCCCATTTCATTTCTTTATTCTGTGAGAGTATAACTTGTTTTATTGGGTATGCTTTAATTACTTCAGGATGTTCACTTTGTTCTTGTAATATGAAAATCATTAGACTCATGATGTTGAGATATAGATGCTTTCTCATGCATTGTATCCAGCAGCCCAGAGAGTCTAGTGAGATTAGGCTACATCCACAAAGGCAACTCTTCTTAATACATCCTTTTAAATCCTTTTCCCATTGTAGTCCCAGTATTATTCTTCTGTTTGCTACAGAGGCAGCTCTCTGGCACTGTCTCCCAGAAGGGAAGCTTTCCCTTTACTTCATTTTAGGATTTATAGCCTCAGGAAGGAGGCAAAAACTAGTGTAGTTTTGTAATGGAGACTGTTCCCTAGAGCAACTCTCTCCTGTATATCTGCTTTTTTCAATCTCTCTCCATGGGTTTTCCTGCAGACAGCAACCAAAACTACAGACTTTCTTTGTATCAGGCGGTAGCCGTGTTAGTCTGTATCTACAAAAACAACAAGGAGTCTGGTGGCACCTTAAAGACTAACAGATTTATTTGGGCATAAGCTTTCGTGAGTAAAAACCTCACTTCTTCGGATGCATAGAGTGAAAGTTACAGATGCAGGCATTATATACTGACACATGGAGTGCCACTGACTTGAAGGTATAACCCTGGACGCCCCATCATCTCAGGCATTGGCACTCTTACAGCAGG